CGGCGAGGTTAGGGAGAGAAGAGAGGGAAGCGGGGAGGGTGCCAGAGAGTTGGTTGTGGGAGAATTGGATGGTGACGAGGGTTTTGATTCGGGACAAGAAATGGGGTATCTGGCCGGAGACGTTGGTGTGAGTGATGTAGAAATAATGGAGGTAGGTGAGTTTGGCGAAGGAGGGGGGGATGGGGCCAACGAGGTTGGGGATGGTGTCAAAGTTAAGGGTGTTCAAGTAGGGAAGGTTTCCGATGGAGGAGGGAATAGGGTAGGGTTTGGGGAGGTTAAGGTTGATGAGATGGAGTTCGTGGATGCGGTATGTTTTGGTGCGTGTGTCGCATGAGATACCTGACCATCTGTGGTTGCAGCAATCAGTTGTTGGGTGCCAAGAGGAGAGGGGGGTTGGGTTGCCAAGCTCTTTCTTGATTTGGAGTAGGGTTTGCTTGTCTTGTGGGTTGCATAGTTCTGAGAGTGCTCTAGTGAAGGATAGGGCTATCACCATGAGGATGCTAAAGCTTGTCATCTTTGCACGAACTTTGCTTCGGTGTTATTTGTGAGTGAAAAAACATGGACCGGGATTCTACATATATATAGGAATTGAAGTGTTTGCATTATCATCATGTCAAAATTTTGAGAGTGATTATTTCTGTTTGATACATTGGAGAGCGAGAATAGTTTCAACAAACATGCACACATCAAAACATTTTCTCTTAGATTAATTAATTTGTTAAAAACATGTCACAAATATATAATTATTTTATTTTTTAATTAAAATTAATTATGAGACTAAAAAAAATAAGGCGGAAAATTAACTTTTTGCTAATCAATTTCAAAATGTTAAAAAAAACAAAAATTTTCATATTTATTTATTATTTAATAATTATTTTCTCTCTTGTATCTGTTCCCCATCACTATACAACATAATCTTCATTATCATTATTTATATCACAAAGTCACAATTGCTAACCAATGATATTATTATATATCATTATCATTATTATTGATATTGTTATTGATACTATCATTATTAACCATTAATGCACCATCATCAACACATATAATAATTGTTGTTGTCATTATTATTATCATTATTATTATTACATTAAAATAATTTAATATAAATCGTATTAAGATATATAACTAGCTATTTTAAGGAGGGTGTTGGAATAAATTTTACATTTGTTTTGGTAAACCAAAATATTCCTTAGTCGAAAGATGCCCAATCTTTTAAAGTACTAAGATCTGTTTGAAAGGTTGACTCTCTTGACAAATGTTTTTCCATATACATTTTTATATCATAGACAAATTCTTGACCACATGCATAAGATATTTACCAATCATGAGACACCTTGGTGATAAATTTCACATCATTTTACTTTTTATGTTCATTTTCTATCATACAAAGCGCGTGATAAAATTAGCTTAAATATTTTTCATGTATTATTTTCATTGTGTTGTATCTAAATTTGTATTTGACACACCTTTACAAACATGCACATTTGTATCTCATTTGTTAAAATTTATTATAAAATATACAACTTCTTAAAAAGGAAACACCCAAATAGACATGACAATGAGGTGAGCTGAGAGCGAATTTTGATCTCTTTGTATTTATCTCGTAAAAGGTCAGATGAGTCCAAGTTTAAAAGGGATAAATCTATATTTTTAAACTCATTCTCATTCCCCTCAACTTTGATTGAGTCTTATCATGTTCAAGTAAACTCATAGGAATCCCACATTTTTTTTAAAAATAATTTATATATTAAGTTATTAATTATATTTTAATTCACAAAATATATAAAAATTAATAGGCATATGTTTTAGTTAAATATATGTTCATGTGCAATGTAATTTTTTTAAGTGGGACAAGTATATATATGTACAAGGACAGGTCAAAGAGTAACATCCTTAAATATAAACTTGAACTTGATCAAAGTGAGTTTTTCCTATCAAAATCGGGTTGAAGTCAAACAAGTATTCAAATATTTAGATTCATTTATCTTGCCTACACTTAACACTTAGATCAATTGGCATGAGTTTATTTAGTGATTATGGGTTTTTAGTTTGTATAGTGATCGTGATGGAGTCCCTCCTTCCATGGTTGATGATAGTGTGATGAAGGGAGACACCTTGCCCATGATCTAGGCTCACCAAAGGGTAGACAAAAGGGAGGTTTATGGTGACAAGGGAAGCTAGGCGTGAAATGGTTGTAGGGTGGCGGAAGTGTATGGTGAATGGTGTATGAATGCTCAAGGTTGGCTCACTCCAAGTGTGGATGGAGGCCACTCTAGGGTTTCACTCTCCAAGGGGGATAGCCGGGACCCCTAGCACGCATCGAAAAATCCTGCGTCGTATGATTGCTTAAGCCCTCTCGCCTTATAGGCTCAGGGCTGGAAGGCAAGTGTACCATCTCGGGTCAATTCCGAGATGAGTTCGCCAAGAGGATATCCAAGACCCCTAGCACGCATCGGAAAAATGTCGATGTACTTTTAAGGAGAGAAAAGGCCCACCGAGAGCTGTAGGGAGAGACCTTTAATAGGGGTAGTCGTATCAAGAATAAAATATCATCATTAATGAGGATATATCTCCATGCATAAAACCATCACGGAAAATCCCAATGTTCATGGGGTCCACGAGGCCCATTAACAGGTAAGTATAAATCCTCAAACTCTAGAGCTAACACGGATAGATTACACTCTTGAATGCTTTGGCTCGGATCATCTTTGGTGAAAAACCCTAGACGATCTCTTGGTTGGAACAATATATAAACCTGATTCCCACTAATTGAGAAAAATAGTTTACATCATTCAATTTTACTAATTTAATCTAAAAATAATTTATTTTTCTAAATTTTCTTTCTTTAAAATTTTATATAAAAATAAAAGACATTATAAATTCAACTTCAATTAAATAAAAATATATTTTTAGAAATGATAGGCAATAAAGTGAATTAATTGATATTTTTTTGTATTTGAAACTAACAAATGTATACTTTTTTTTATAATGGAACTAGAGGAATATCTACATTAAATTTATTAATTTTATAATATGATTTATAATTTATCCTTATTATAAATATAAAAGAAGTAATGTAATTTAAAGGTAGAAATATTTTAGCAAGAGTATGATTATATAAAATAAAAATAGTTAAAGTTTGTTTGTATTTAAGAAAAAAAAGATATTTTTATTTATTTATAATAGAGAAATAAAGAAAGTATTATACTTTTGTTCTAAAAAAATTTTAATTAACATTTAAAAAAGTCAAAAAATTAGATGAAAGAATAACAATTTGACAAGAAAAAGGTCACAAGTTTCAATAAAATAAAATAGACATCAAAAGTAATTCACAATAAAAGAAAAAAAATTAAAACAAACATAGTAACCGGTGAGACTCGTAATCCCGTGTTAATTTTTCTAAAAGATTATTTTTTGAAATTTTTTTATACAAAGTGTTCGAGTAACTCTTATTCATAAATGATGTTAAAAAGAAGAGAGAGAAAACTTTTATTAATAAACAAAAATTAAGTACAAATAAGTTAGGCTAAACATACTTAAAAAAACCATAATTAAGCCTTTAAACAACCTAAAGTACCCTTAACCCTCATCAAACGTGGCCTATTTGGCTATTTTCTTTTTGACGTAATTTTTTTGTCCTACTAAAAGCAGCATTAATATTAAAATAAAAAGTATTAAATTCTTTTGAAGACTCAGTATTTGAGGTTCCTCCCAAGGAAATTAGTCGCTCTATTGGTTGTGGATACTTCATAGACGAAAAAAAAAAGAGGTTTAAATATATTTTTTATCATTCAAATTGAAGATAAATTTATTTTTAGTCCCTCAAATTTAAAATTATTGTTTTTAGTCCCTGTAATTTTCAAAAATCTTATTTTAATCTCTTAGGTCACCAATAACATATTTAAAAGTGACTAATTAAAACAGTTATAAAATATTAATCAAATTTAATGTGATATTTTCATTAATAGAAATACCAATAGGTAGATTATATGTAATAATGTTTGATAAATTTCTTAACAAAATTTGAATATAAAGATTAAAATAAGATTTTTTGAAATTATATGGACTAAAAATAACAATTTTAAATTTGAAAGACTAAAAATAAATTTACTCTAAATTCGAGAGACTAAAGATATATTTAAAAATATATATATATATATATATATATATCCGAGTCATTGATTGGCACACATGCGCAACAACGCCTCCATAATCCATTCCACTCCACACCCTTTCTCCGTTTTGAGTTTTGACCAGAATCAATCCTCTAGAACTTCGAATTAAAAATAAATGCGTGTCCCTTCTCTCATAATACGAAGAGACACCCCTTAATGGCTTTACGATACCCACAAATAACAAACCTAACGATCACTAAAACATTTTTTCCTTGTAATGCAATGTCGGAATAACCCCGAATTGATTTCATCAGGAAGACGTAATGTAGATCTATCAAGGAAAGACCCCGCACCAATAAGAATGTGTCTCGTCGTTACTTCACTATATGGTTGCTTAAGCCCTTTCGCTTTATATGCTCAGGGTTGGAAGACAAGTGTACCATCTCGGGTCCATTCCGAGATGAGTTCGCACATAGGATAGTCGAGACCCCTAGTACGCATCGGAAAAATGTCGCGCTGTGTGATTGCTTAAGCCCTCTCGCCTTATAGGCTCAAGGATGGAAGACAAGTGTACAGCCGAGACCCCTAGCACGCATCGAAAAAATCCCGCACTGTATGATTACTTAAGCCCTCTCGCCTTATAGGCTCAGGGCTGGAAGGCAAGTGTACCATCTCGGGTCCATTCTGAGATGAGTTCGCCTAGAAGATATCCGAGACCCCTAGCATGCATCGAAAAAAAGTCGATGTACTTTTAAGGAGAAAGAGGGCCCACCGAGAGTTGTAGGGAGAGACCTTTAATAGGGGTAGTCGTATCAGGAATAAAATATCATCATTAATGAGGATATATCTCCATGCATAAAACCATCACGGAAAATCCCAATGTTCACGGGGTCCACGAGACCCATTAACAAGTAAGTATAAATCCTCAAATCCTAGAGCTAACACGGACAGATTACACTCTTGAATGCTTTGGCTCGGATCATCTTTGATGAAAAACCTTAGACGATCTCTTGGCTGGAATAATATATAAACCTGATTCACACTAATTGAGAAAAATAGTTTACATCATTCAATTTTACTAATTTAATCTAAAAATAATTTATTTTTCTAAATTTTCTTTCTTTAAAATTTTATATAAAAATAAAAGACATTATAAATTCAATTTCAATTAAATAAAAAGGTATTTTTAGAAATAATAGCCATTAAAGTAAATTAATTGATATTTGCTTGTATTTGAAACTAACAAATGTATACTTTATATATATATATATATATATATATATTTATTGGAACTAGAGGAATATCTACATTAAATTTATTAGTTTTATAATATTATTTATAATTTATCCTTATTATAAATATAAAAGAAGTAATGTAATTTAAAGGTAGAAATATTTTAGCAATAGTATGATTAAATAAAATAAAAATAGTTAAAGTTTGTTTGTATTTAAGAAATTTTTTTTTACTTATAATAGGAAACAAAGAAAGTATTATATTTTTGTTTTGAAAAAATTCTAATTAACAATTAAAAAAGTCAAAAAAAATTAGATGAAAAAAATAACAATTTGACAAGAAGAAAGTCGTGAGTTTCAATACAATAAAGTAGGCATCAAAAGTAACTCACAACAAAATAAAAAAATTAAAATTAAAACATAGTAACCGGTGAGACTCGTAATCCCGTCCCGTGTTAATTTTTCTAAAAGATTATTTTTTGAAATTTTTTTATACAAAGTGTTCGAGTAACTCTTATTCATAAATGATGTTAAAAAGAAGAAAGAAAAAACTTGTATTAATAAACAAAAATTAAGTACAAATAAGTTAGGCTAAACATACTTAAAAAAAACCATAATTAAGCCTTTAAACAACCTAAAGTACCCTTAACCCTCATCAAACGTGGCCTATTTGGCTATTTTCTTTTTGACGTAATTTTTTTGTCCTACTAAAAACAGCATTAATATTAAAATAAAAAGTATTAAATTCTTTTGAAGACTCAAAGTATTTGAGGTCCCTCCTAAGGAAATTAGTCGCTCTATTGGTTGTGGATACTGTTGGATCGAGCGCTTACCACTAGGCCAAAAACTATAGTTGATAGTCAGGGCGCAACTCTTTTTACTTAAGAGCCTAGCAGCCCAAGCGCCATAATTCGACAGTGACTTGACCCACCTAGCCTCCGCCACGGGACAATTGATGCAACCCGCAACAGATACTTCATAGACGAAAAAAAAAGGTTTAAATATATTTTTTATCATTTAAATTGAAGATAAATTTGTTTTTAGTTCCTCAAATTTAAAATTATTATTTTTAGTCCCTATAATTTTCAAAAATCTTATTTTAATCTCTTAAGTCACCAATAACATATTTAAAAGTGACTAATTAAAACAGTTATAAAATATTAATCAAATTTAATGTGATATTTTCATTAATAGAAATATCAATAGGTAGATTATATGTAATAATGTTTGATAAATTTTTTAGCAAAATTTGAATATAAAGATTAAAATAATTTTTTTTGAAATTATATGGACTAAAAATAACAATTTTAAATTTGAAAGATCAAAAATAAATTTCGAGAGACTAAAGATATATTTAAAAAATATATATATATATGTATATATATATATATATCCGAGTCATCGATTGGCACACATGCGCAACAACGCCTCCATAATCCATTTCCTCCACACATAACGGGAAAGCCCTTTCTCCGTTTTGAGTTTTGACCAGAATCAATCCTCTAGAACTCCGATCTGAGGCAGAGGCAGATCTTCCACTGACTCAGTGACTCAGCGCGATGACGCCGCCGCTGAAGGCCGTGACGCTGACGCACGTGCGGTACCAAAGAGGCGACCGCGTGGGGCACTTCCTGGCGTGGGTGTCCCTGGTCCCCGTGTTCATCTCCCTGGGCGGCTTCGTCTCGCACTTCATCTTCCGCCGCGAGCTCCAGGGCATCTTCTTCGCGGTGGGCCTCATCGTCTCTCAGTTCATCAACGAAGTCATCAAGACCTCCGTCCAGCAGGCCCGCCCCGCCACCTGCGCTCTCCTCGAGATGTGCGACTCCCACGGCTGGCCCTCCAGCCACTGCCAGTACATGTTCTTCTTCGCCACCTACCTCACCCTCCTCTCCTCCAGAAACGGCCTCAGCTTCTGGCACCTGCGTGATAACCCCCTCCTCCACCTCCTCACCTGGTCCCTCGCGCTCCTCACCATGTACTCCCGCGTCTACTTGGGCTACCATACCATCGCGCAGGTCTTCGCTGGCACCGCGCTTGGGGTTTTCCTCGGCGCGGTTTGGTTTTGGGTTGTTAACGTCGTTTTGTACCCTTACTTTCCGCTTATCGAGGAGAGCGCCTTCGGGAGGAGGTTCTATGTCAAGGACACTTCTCATATACCTAATGTGTTGAAGTTCGAGTACGACATGGCCAGGGCTCAGAGACGGAATGAGCCCTCTGATTCTAAGTCCGATTGATTCCTAATTTGGTAGGTATGTTTGGACCTCCTTTTCGCAGATCTCCATTTGGCTCAGGAATTTTAGGGGAAACTTGTGTTTGATTATGTGATTTGATTCCATCTTGCCTCTGCCGGTGTAAATGTGTAATGGAATCAAACTCACATGCCTTCTTTCACAAGTCTCAAGTTGGTATTAGTGGCGTTTTTATTGCGTGATGTAAGTATTTAGAGAATTTAGTTTATATGCATTGTCTGTCTGTTATACTGTCAACCAATAAATTATCATTGATACGACTTTTAAATAATGATTGTAAAACTCAACAAATTTACCTTAGAAATTTGTGATCGGATGGTAGAGTAATTTGCATATATTACTTATATACTAATACTATATAGTGTTTGAATAAACTTTTTCGGAAACACTTATTAAGAGAAGAAAATAGAAAGGGAAAAATAAATCAGCTAAAATTAGTTAATGTACAAGGTTAAAGAAGTTTTTGGACAAACTAATAATACAAGAGTTTCCATAAATTAACTTATTTGTAAGTTAATTTTAATTTATCAAGAATTTATTTCATTTTTCTTTCATATTTTCTTCTCCTACAAGTGCTTCTAGAAAGTTTATCTAAACAAACCTTTGCTCATACATATAGGTGTGTGTGCCTTGGATGGCTAGCCAAAGAGGGACATGAAGATCCTTAGAAGATCTTCATGTCTCTCTTTGGATAGCAATCATAGGAATGTATCATATATTAAAGAAATGTTCGTTCTTATCATTCTGCATTATTTGTGTGTCATGGGATTTATTGATCTTGTGATTGATGTGTAGTGCATACATTTTAATTGGGGTTACTTTTAGTTGTATTGTATGGCAGAGGAAGTGGTTGCCATTATGATTGTTCTGTTCTCTCTAGGTGCTCTTTTTTGCTGTGAATTGATATGTCTCTAGTTGGGTCAAGTATAATTTGATCTGTATACCGAGTAACTCATAGATTAGCATACCAAACCTGTCAAAACTTGTGAACTGAAGCTCAAGGTTATTTGATTATAACCATTCTTCCTGTTTAGTATTGTGACACTGAGACCTGCTTTACTTTGTGTTGTGCTCCTTGTTGAAACTCACTCCATTTATGATATTTTCTGAGGAATCTGAGCATGTATCGTATGTATCCTTATGATATAAAGTTTGCTAGATACTTGTTATGGCATTCTTAAGTAGGTTGAATAAATTTCATGGCACGAGATAGGAAATCCAAGTGGTGGTTCTCAATAATCTTTTATTAGATACTTGACTCTAGTATCAGCAATTAGTTGGTTGGAAGTTAGGATGGACTTAATAAAAACTGTATTAACAGCTAGAAAACATGGATATGATGTGATACAAGTGAAACATACCTGATATGGGTACACGAGGATACAGCAAATTTTTAAAATTATTGGACACAACATGATTATAGCACAACATATACAATTAACATGAAAAATAATCTTAATTTAGGAGGAAATTATCTTTTAAAATTATCAAGGATAATTTAGTCCAACTAGAGTTAAGAGTTTCTCTCCTCCAAATCTCCTAATATTTTGGGGATGCCAAAATTAAGTGAGGAGGGATTTTAGGCCCCTCTAATCTCTTCCAAAATCTTCAGTCAAACTAGAAAAGTTTATACAAATCCCTCCCTTCTCCTTCTCTTCATTTCCTTCCAACCAAACACTACAAAAATGTCAGTGAGGTGCATTGCATGGTAACTATTTTGAAGTTTCCAAGCTTCCTTGATTTAGCTGTTAGTTAGCTAGAATAGTGGACAGTGTATAATATTAATATATAAATAATAGGAGGGAAATAGTCGAGGATAGCTTTAGACTTGGTGTAGGGATGGATTGGGAGGAAGAACCAGTACTTGGATTTCCTAGGACCGAGATAATAAGATATATACATTTGGCATTTCTGGGCTAAATTCCTAAGGATTCTGTGATCACATTTGATTAAGATTCAAGGCAATGAATGATATCCAATCAAGGTCATTTTTTACTATTTGTTTTTATACTTTTCGTGGTGCAATTCCATGTTCTATTATGACAAGTCATGATCCATACATATTGTCCTCTTTTCTAACACTAAGCCTTCACTATTCAAATTTCAAAGTCAGTGGTCTGTCATCTTATCTATGATATGTTGCTGATCAGAGTGAAGTTCTGATCGGAGAGGAGGCACACAGCTTGATGGTGGCATGTAATTGTTTTTTAGCTTAGGCTAGTGTTACACCAGAGGGGAGGTATATTTAGGTTGATTATAATATTAATAGTTATTCTTTATTCAATGTTAAATTGTTCCTTCTAAACCGTTTTCTTAGTATTCATGTGAAAATATGGTTTCTTAATATTCAACAACAACAAAGCCTTATCCCACTAGGTGAAGTTCTTTACATGGACCATATGATCCCATGCAACCCAGTTAAAGATCAAAGTTTCAGAAATGTTATTTACCATGAGAAGACCCCTTTTGACACCTTCCTCCGATGTCCTTTTTGGTTTCTTTCTCCTCCCCTTCACAGGACTAAACCATGCAATATACTCTTCTTACTAGTGCCTCCTATGTCCTTCTTTGTATGAGCCCCAAACACCTTAATTGTTTTTCTGTCATCTTTTCTCAATTGAGGCTGCATCAATCTGTCCTTGAATATAATCCTTTCTATCCTGTCTTTTCTTGTGTGGCCACACATCCATCCAGTGTTATTAGGCTCAACTCAGACCAGCCAGTTTGACTGGTTGACCTGAGAACTGCTCCCATAACCAGTTTGAGCTGCCAATTGGATCAAATATGTATGTGAAGCGGTGGAAACCGGTTTGACTCAGGAAGTTTTAATGTAAACTGGTGGCCCGTGACCTGGCTGGGTCAGTCATGCACCTACTGCTCTCCACCTACACGCTGCCCTGCTGCTATGCACCTACTCACTGCCATATGCACCTACTCACTGCCATATGCACCTACTCACTGCCATATGCACATTTTCACATCAACTACTCTTGCACCTAAGCCTACAACATTGCGCATATTGGTGTTGGAGCCAAGCCAGGTGCACTTGCATGTTGTGGTTGGAGTTCCAAAACTTGGTTAACCAAACAAAATTTGCAGTTGATAGGTGTAGAACCCAGTTCTTTTTAATCTTTGAAGGTCAATTAACCACTAGATCAGCTACTCTTCATGGCATATGTGCGATGAAATTTATTTTTATACTATATACTAATATAAAATTATATTTTTAATAATATATCAATTCATGCAGTTTAACTAGTGACTTACTGATCCAATATCTTGACTGAGTTAGTCACGGTCTGGTTTTGATAACACTACATCTATCATAACATTCTCATTTCTGCCACTCCTCCTTTTTCTCTTGTTGACTTGTCCCTTTATGGCCCAACATTCACTACACTACTATGTTGTATAGTTGGTTGTACAGTAATACAAAAAAATATTCCTTTGAGTTTGGTAGGTGTTTTGAAATCATAAATAACTCTCCAATTCTCAATGCCTTTCTCCATTTTTGTCATTATGCTTGTATCCTATGTGTGACGTCCTCATTAATTTCCCCATCATTTTGTATTATTGATCCCAAAAAAGAATCAATCACTCTAAAGAACAAATCAGGTCTTGGATATATCAGTATTCTGCAGTACACAAATATCAATATTCACCCAATCCCAAATCACTTGAACACAACAAATCTTATACTGTAATATATTTCCAAATTCCAAAATTCTCCCAATATTTCAGCATTTCTTGGAATATATTTCAAGAAGAGTGAAGACAAATAATGATATTGCCTTATTGTCTTATGCGAGAGAGGTGAAACAGAGGAGTAACACTGGTTGTTGACCTCCTTGCTGCTCTGCTGCTGGGCATTTGGAAGAGACGAATCAGAACAGTGAGTTTGGAAGAATGTGAGAGAAAATATAGGTGGGAGATAGGGAACAGAGCTGTCACCTGAATGGAGTTGGATTCAGTGGGGAAAATTGAACCGGACAGAAACTGAGAGAGAAGAGAAAGAAGGAGAAGGAGAAGATCACAAAAGAGTACCAGCTGTAAAGTTTTGTCTAAACATGCTTCAAAAGCCCATAAACAATGCTCATTTTCCCCGAGTTTTTTGGCCTAGGTGAACTTGCCCACACAGTCATGAGTTTGAGCAATTCAGCCCGAGTTTGCATGAGTTGTTTACCCGAGCTAACCACGAAATGATTCTGCTTATGTGCTAAACCAATTGATGGCTGCACACTTGTAAATTCTATGACTTCACTTGTGAGTTTAACAACCATGCCAACAACATTACTATTGTCCATCCTTTTTTACTCATGCTTAATATTTAATTCATACAAATATGAAGTTCCTTATCTCCTCCCTGCTTAGGCTTAATTTCTTTTTTATTATAATATTTTAGCTTAAATCTTCTTCCTTTCTGTTCTATTGTCATATGGGCAACTAAAGGCTTACTTTTTCGAGACAATATAAGACGGAAGGAGCAATGTTTATCCATATTTTAGCTCTCACCCTGCCCCTCCAAAAGAAAATGTTAATATTGTCCCAAAAAGTATATTTACATTTCTTAATTCTTCCATTTTCTCAATTTTTCTTTTTGAAAAACTGGAAGTATTGGGTACATATGTTGAATTGTGCTATCTGCAATGACCATATTGTTTCTAAAGTAAAATTAATATTAGTAACATGTATTCAAGATCCTCTTTTGTCAATTTAGGGTGCTGGGTGGGGGAAAAGGGACTATCACGATGTTTGTATTCAGGATGTTATTAAGTATTTATTTGCGTGTTTCATGATTGTTTGGTATATGTGATGCAATGCCTATTCAAATGTTGGCACGGGGGTTCAATTGGGATGGTTGTGAATGATGGCATGCTGCTGGGGCTTGTTATTATATAGTGATTATTGGTCTCATATTTAAGTGAACTGTAAATGGAATTTTAAAGAGTAACTAATAACATAGGAATCAAATTTCAAGAAGAAACAGCATAGAAAATTTATATCTTAACAAATTGTTCGGAAAACCCTAAGAATTCCGTTAATAGAGACTTCCTTGCTCCTCACAGGCTTGCAACCCTCCTCAGGAGCAAGACAGCATAGATAATACATCAATTTTATATATATGCCAATGCTAACCCCACCCAGTGTCATCCGTTTTACTTGCTGGTCTATATATCTGTTATAAGAATCCATCCTAACAGCAACGATAGTTATATATATCTGCATCTGAGTCCTAACTTGCCTGGACATTGTTCTTTGGGATTTGTTGTTTCCTCAACTAACATTGACATTAATGTATTCATTTGAAGGCATTGTGAGTCATGTGCATTATGTATTTCTAATTTTAATATTCTCCATAATTGAATTTTTTAGTTTATGCAAACGGTGGTAATATTCAAATAACAAATTTAAGGTTTACATATGCTTTGGTATGTTTTGTTTTAACTGACCTTGTTCCTTTTCCATTTTCCAGGCAGATTGCTGCGAATTTTTCTTCTAGGATTTGTATTCTCAAACATTTATGGCAGTATTGTTATTGCTTTCTTCTCTGGAGCTTTCCTCTATAGAAGCCCACCGACTCAGGTATAAATGGTATCTATAAAGAGAGCAGCAGTGCACACTGATACTATAGGTCTTTGATGCGTATAAAATAGAGATGATGTAACAATAGATGATTACGTGATGCTATTGCTATAGATAAACAAATGAATATTTTATCTTGTTTTCTTACATTGGTTTTAGACTAAAAATACATTGACACATACACCTAAAGGATTGTTCAAATTATTGATAAGCTTATAAATATTTGATTTGCCCCTAAAGTATTGTGCATGCTCTATATTGCTTTACATGTTTGTTTTGGCTTAAAATTGAGTGTTCGATTTGCTTATCCTTATAGCCGATTATGCTTTGCTTGTTTTGTGTGTCATGATATTTCCTTTGAATCTTTTATCATGTAATATATATTGAGGGTATAGAGGTATACTATAGGACCTTACTTGAGGTAAGGAAAAGGAATCTTGAAGTCAATGTATGGAGTGTGTAATTACATCTTTTGAGGGTATAGAGGTACTATAGGACTTTACTTGAGACAATGAAAAGGAATCTTAAAGACAGCATGTGGAACTAGAGCATCGTTTGTAATTACTAAAAATGTACTTCTGAGCCCAAACCCAAAACAACGAGACGAAGCTACAACATGGCTAGCAATATCCAGCTATTATTTCGTCTTTTCATTTCATTTAAAGAGAAGATTCGTTTTCCCCCTTCCTATTTTCCTATTAAATGAGGTCCGAAGGTTTTGTTGTGAATCAATTATCTTTTAAACAAAGAAAAAAAAAGCCGTTTCGTGAAGACACATGAATATTTTTTATTATACAACTTTAAATATGTTTTTATTCTTTATAAATATGATTTTGTTAATTTTAGTCTTGATATATATTTTTAAAATAATCTCTATCGATACTTAGTAAGGACTATGGGCATGCTTGTTTAATTTTTTTTAAAAAAGTTTTTCATTTAATAAAATAAGCAGTTTTACTTTAATGTGTTTATCTAAATTGTTTTGTGCTTATTTCTTAAATAATTACTTTTTTTGACAATGTAAAAAAATTACCTTTTTAAAAATCACATTTTTTTAGAATATTTAGTTTTAATTTTAAATGAATTGGCCTTATGTCTATCGATATCATATTAGCGACCATTTTGAAAAGATATAATGTGAGATGTCTAAATATATGTCACATTATCAATAGGTAAAGATAAAAATTACTTTAAAATAAAATAAAATTTACAAGAATTATAATAATGAACTTTTATTGAAGGGCTACACATTAACAATAGGTAAAGATAGAAATTACGTTAAAATAAAATAAATTATAAGAATTATAATAATGAACTTTTATTGAAGGGCTAAAAATAAATTTAGTAATATTCATAAGAATTAAAAACATATTTTACCTTGCATATTTAAATGTCCTTTACCATAGAAGTCTTTTAGATTATTTTGAAGTGTAGACAAGTACAGGCTTGTTAACTTATACTAAAATTCAAGTTTAATTAAAAAATATGGATGTCACAACATCGAATTATGGACTACTTGGTTTGATAGGTTATGATAACATGTTATGAACTATCTTAAAAATTTAAATGGTTAAGTGAAAACAAATATATATATTGTTTTGTTCAAGATCTGGCCCAAAACGAAGAAAATCTGAGACAAGGCAGATTGGGGCTTTAGGATGCCCATGATATCACGCAAGCAAAAGAGTAGTGAAACTGAAATATATAAGTTCTCCAAGGAATGACAAGCGAGGGGGAGATCAAGAATGAAGATTATCATATTAATATCATTTCTTCTTGATAATATTTATTCTCTTGTCTGTGTCATGACAAGAGAATATTTTTTTCCTTTTGTAAATTCCATTTTATCTTGTTATGTAACAATGTCTGCAATTTATCAGCCACCAAACTTTTAATGTAGGAACCTAATAATGGATTAGACATCAAGAATTGGATATTTAGATAATTGTTGATGATTTCATCTATTTGAGTGGGTGCAATAAATTTCAGCTAGGATAAGTTTTACCTCTTACATAAAAATGTTGTGTTTAGGACAAGTAAAATATATGTTTATGAAATAAAAATGTTTTATTTTCCAAACATTTAAGTTTTTTTTAGACTTAAATTATGTTTTTTTAACTTAAATATTTTTTGTCTTTGTAAAATTAGTAATTTTTTATTTTAGTCTCTTTAAAATGTTTTATTTATTTTTTTATTATTATAAAATTAGAACTATTATTTTTAGTCCTTATTTTTTATGTGATCATTTTTAACTATTTTTTGTTTATTAATAAGTTAAGTGATCATCTTATGTGTTACTTACAACTGTTAGCAATATCATGTCAGTATTTGATACTTCTAAAAATGTGTATAGATCCTTAAAATAAATATTATTTATTTATTTTAAAATGACTCCTTAGAGAAAAAATATAATGACTTTTAGATTTTAGAAAAGTAAAAATAATATATATATATATATATATATATATTCTTTTTTTTTTTTTTTTACAAGGATCAAAACTAAAATATATTCACTCCATAAGAACAAAAAATCGTAACATTGTAGATTTCAAGGTACTTTGATTTAATTATATGATTGATTAAATGATTAATTATTAATTATTGTTTTAAAACTCTAGAGTCAAGGGACTTTGAGAATTAGGTTGTCTCTAAAGTAATTTAGTCAATGTTAAGTTGGTTCTGCTTAAGGGAAGGTATATAAGGTTTTTCTTAAGATATATAAACCCTATAAGTTTATGTTTTAAGAAACCTTAGAGAGAAACTAGTGAGAAGCTCTCTAGAATTTGAGTGAATCTTCTATTGAAAAACACAAATTTCCGACGAAAAATTTTCGATGGATCAAAATCCATCGGAAAATGTTATTTCCTTCCAACGAATTTATATTTGTCGAAATTTTTTTACGGAATTTCTGTCAGAAATTTCTAACAGAATTATTTCGTCAGAGATTTTCGACAAAATTATTTCGTCAAAAATTTCTGACAGAATTTCTATCAGAAACTTCCGTCAAAAATTCCGTCAAAAATTTCGTCGAAAATCATGACCTATTTATATTAATTAATATTAAATCATATTCGTGGATGCTCATGCTGATTAATTAGAACCACTGATAACGGAACATTATTCCCTAACTGCTCATTTGTAGCCACAAAAACATGCATCAAATTTAGAGAGCCTTGTACCATAACAACTCTTCATACATTATTAATTACAATAATATTAGTTATATAACATCTTTTTAGAAATGTGTTGCCAAGATAATCGATAACATATTTATTTTTAGATAAAACTTAAATGTAATATTAAATGCTAGAGGGAACTAGCCAAGTTAACTAGAGTATCATACAAAGAGGGAGAGTGACAGTTAAGTATCCTTAATTAAGATTTATATTAAAGTTTATATTAATATTTTATTATTGGATTTATTGTATTACCCTTTATCAAATTTTTCTAGTATTAAATGCATTTATTTAGAGTTTTATACATTTTACACTCAAAATGTGAGGAAGTGTATTAAAAATTTTACAGCCATTAAAAACGGCTCAGCCGTTTGGCTGCAGTGTCTACTTTGTAGATAAATTTTCCTCACAGGGGGTAAACGGCTCAGCTGTTTCAAGGCGCTCAGCCGTTCATATCAGCAAAACATTTTAGTTGAGATTTCTGCATCAAATGGCTGAGCGTTTTCAAAGCGCTCAGCGCTTTTCTTTATAATGCTCTCTGTACCCAAATGGCTGAGCGCCTAAAAAGGGCTGAGCGCCTCAAAAAAAAAA